CTGGTGGGGACTTAAACCTGACTACACACAGACTCATGGGGACTCGTGTCATGGTGGGGACCTAAATTGAGGTCCCCACGGGTAAACAAGCTAATAAATCACACAGAATGAAGTTTTTGAAAATCTAAAAATGCACAAAGTTTCCTGTGAGGGGTAGGTTTAGGGGTAGGGTTGGTGTAGGGCAATAGAATATACGGTCTGTACAGTAGAAAAACCATTACGCCTATGGAGAGTCCCCACAAGGATAGCTGACCAGACGTGTGTGTGTGTGTGTGTGTGTGTGTGTGTTTCGAGACTTGAGTGCACAAACGTATACCTGTGTCGAGAGGTGGCCATTACTGTCCATGTTTTGTGATCTGTCACAAGAATTCATTGAGTCGAGCACTAAAAGAAATGAAAATTATAAAGAACATCTGTAATATACAATGTATTAAAGTACTGACTGTACTCTGGACTGAGTGCTCATGGAGCCTTGGAAAGATTATTACCTGAGTAAGTCAATCAATCATTGCATATAATATTGTTTCTGGAAAGTTGTGACTTTTTCTACAGGTTTCTATTTTTATACAGTAAGTGCATTATCTTATTGTGCTATCTTATGTGCTAGAAGCTATATTGTTACCTTTATAATCTAAGTTCTTAAAATCTATGAACAGTGGCTCCTCTGGTTCTTCAGTGCTCTTTAAAGGGTTGAGTGGATATAAAACCGAGGCCTCTGAATGCTCTCCCCTCTCTGGGCTGCAACACATTCTGATAATTCCATGTTACAAGCACTTTCCCATGTCTATTCTCTTTTATTGGCATATTGCATCGGGATATAGTAATATCATTGTACTCACTTTGGTAATGTGCTCTCAAACTGATTTCCAGCTGCTGAGCTGTTGTGTGACACATCTTGCATGAGAGCTTCATCTGGCCATGGATTAGCCAGCTTTGTTGGTTGAGCGAATGACACAAACTGAAGAGTCATAAACTGTAACAATTTGGGTTACCTTTAAATGATTTTAAATGATCACACCTGAGGAGTTTTCTTCATAGTGTTAAGATTTTCCAGAGTTGGCAGAGAAGAGGATATGTGTGGTGCAGGTTTGGGTTGGATTGGATCTGAAGAGCCAGAAGATGTTGTGGGTGGTTGCGGATGATTTTCTGAGCCACTGGCATCAGACAGGTTCGATTCAAGCAAAGGAGACAGCTAAGGATGAAGAAACCATTATTAAACCCTGTATGATAAAAACTTACACATATGAATTCTACAAATGTTACTAATGCTAAATTTATATTATGTCAGTGGTTACTAAATAAAATACTGGTGAATGATTTTGTGGTTGTGACCATTTTAGTCATCCTTACCGGCGTGAACTTGAATTCTTCAGAGAGACGATGTTTTCTGACTTTATAACCCGGCGTATCAATACTGTTGAAACAAATACTCAATATCTGTAGATGAAATCATTTAGAAACATAGCCTAGAAGGAATAACAAAGCTTCTTGAAACATACCAGTACTGTGGCTGACTGGTAACTAGGTTCAGATTTGAAGGAGAACAAGGGCTCATTGGTAACTCTGAGGGTTCTTTCAAAGCTCTTTTGGTTCTTTTCACACCAGTCAAAAGGTTTGTTTTTGGTTTGTCTAGAAGACAAATGATAACATATGATTCTCCAAATGAGCTTTATTAAAAGGCCATAAAAGAATGTTTGCGTTGTGTTCATTTATAAGTGCACCATCACTGTACCTGTTTGCTCTTTCTTTGATGAAATCTGGTTGACTATGAATAATGTCAGCAGATCCATATTGTCAGGGTTGTATCCTTTGGGTGAGTCCACAATATTTGACTTTCTTTTCATCCTTTGCTTTTGAAAAAACGCCTTGAGTTGAAACAGAGAATTACAAGAGCACAGGTTTAAGATATATAAAATAACACACTAAAAAACTAAACCTAACCACCTGTGACCCCAGTCTAATCAATATCAATTAATGCAACTAAATTCATATAACTGTAGTTAATATTTGTATTTATAATAACGTTATCGTTCAAATGTAGTATTAAGAATGTGTAGTTATTAAAAAGAGTGTAAAGTCTCAAACCGTTAGTTTGGAGAGTGAAAAGTACTTACTCTTTGTTTTGTTGTGTCTTCTTTGCTTTTCATATACCTGCTCCTGTTTAGTTAAGACAAGGCGCCATTATACATATATCAACTTAACGAATTTATATAAAGTAATTTTGACATCTCTGCTTTGACCTCCTAGAAATGTTAATTTTACAGCCAAGTAATGATATAAAGTCAGTTATTAGCGAGTTTCAATAAAGTTAGCAAGTTAGCACAAACCTAGATCCTCCGACCCAGTTCATGTTGCCCTCAGTTGAGTTTAGGCGGTTTTTTTTTGTTTTTTTAATTCACCCACCGACACTCTTTCGTTACAGATAACTAAACACTGACAGCGTAAAAATTGTAACTTTTCAGGTTATGAGGCTATTAAGTCAATGTTAAGAGCAGCAACCGATAAGATATAAGGTAAATATCATAAATTGATAACTGCGCGAGTGACGTCACAACCATAGACTGTATGATAACAGGTCTCAACCACTGATCTATAATATATTATATTATATATTATACAGTATATATATATAGAGAGAGAGAGAGAGAGAGA